AGCCCGATGTGGGACTCGATCCCGGGACTCCAGGATCATGACCTGAGCTGAAGGCAGTCGCTTAACCAACTGAGCCACCCAGGCGCCCCGTGGTACCATACTGTTTTGATCACTATAGATTTGTAATAAAACTTCAAGTCCTCGACCCACTTTTATTGTAAAACAATTGTGTGAATCTTAAGCTTATGATAGGCACAAATTTAGTTTCAATTTATTGAGAAGCTTCACATGTACATATAAATTGGTAGAGCCCTCGAAATAACAGGATTTACCAATATGTGGCTTGTTATACTCTAATCAAGATATTTTGCGGTTTGGGTGTGGGTAGGTGTGAAACGTTTGAAAGATATGCCAATTCTGCCAGGAGAGGTATTCAAGTATAAATGGACAGTGACTGTAGAAGATGGGCCGACTAAATCAGATCCTCGGTGCCTGACCCGATATTACTCAAGCTTCCTTAATCTGGAGAGAGATCTAGCTTCAGGACTCATTGGCCCTCTCCTTATCTGCTACAAAGAATCTGTAGATCAAAGAGGAAACCAGGTGAGTTCATGTCTTTCAAAGTTCTGGGTTTGATGGACTGATGATGCATATGAACTTTCAGATCTCTCAATGTACATCCCCCTATAGTCTGCAGAAAATATAATCGTCTGCAGTATTGGCCAATGAAAGAAATGAGCTGGGTTTCTCACAGTTGTTTTTGAATTTAGTTTGGTTTAATAAACTTGCCTGCTGGATAGATAGGAGAGCCTCTCCTATTATATTCCTATAATACTCATTCCCAGTCTAAAATTTCATTTTCTGGTGGCCACTGGCCGGCTCACTTGGAAGAGCATGTGACTCTTGATCTTGGGGTCATGAGTTCAAGCCTCTCATTGGGTGTAGCAATTACTTATATAAATAAAACTTTAAAAAATTTAAAATTCCACTTTCTGTAAATGATCTTGCTCATTTTTACATGCCAAACTACCGCTCATTTTTAGATGACCTGTGAATCTGTATCAGAGTCTAGACTTCTCCCCTGGATGTCTCATCATGAGTGACTCAAAGACACCTCAAAATGAACATATCTGCAGCATCTAGCATAGTGCATGGCATGTGGTAGGAATTCAATAAATATTTGTTGAGCAGAATACAGGGAAAGATACAAAATATTTCAGAAATGTTTAGAATTTAGACCACTTATACTGCTTTAAGAAAATAAAGCTAAATTCTCTGCATAAGGAAAGCCTAATGTTGGGGTGCCTGGGGGGCACAGTTGGTTAAGCATCCAACTCTTGAATTTGGTTCAGGTCTTGATCTCAGGGTTGTGAGATCAAACCCCACATCAGGCTCTGTGCTCACTGCAGGGTCTGCTTAGGACTCTCTCTCTCTCCCCTTCTGCCACTCCCCCTCAAAATACATAACTAAAATCTTTTTTTTTTTTAAAGAAAGGAAAGCCTAGTGCTTCTCAAAAACTCATTCCTTGCATCAGAATAACTCATTGCCATATTGCTGAGGCTTGACTGGATGTCAGTTTGGTTATTTACTACATAGGATTTTTACTAGTCTGAAAACATTTCCTTGGTTTAGAGAGTAAAGCACGTGAGTTTTAAAACACATGGCACGCAAACCCAAAAAGGCATAAATTTGGGCAAGTACCTGTCCTGACAAATTTTTCCTAATTATAGCTTTTTCCACCAGTCTTTTGGAAGAGGACTGAAATGTACCTCTATATTTTCCCCAATGTCCTCTCCTCAGCATTTTGTTTTCTGTAGCACTAGGTTATGCAAAATGAAATTTATACATATTAATGAAGTTTACACATTAAATCTTAACAGAATCAACTAGCAAATAACTCATAACTTTGGTTCATATACAAACTGCTCTTCTAAAAAGAACTTTAAACTTTTTTAACAGAAAACTTTAGATATTAGTGTTAGTTAACATTTTATGGCCCATCTTAACTTTGTTATTTGATTTGTTTTCTATTTTTAATTTTTTATGGATTGGTAGTTTTATGGAAAGACTTGCCTTTCCATAAAGTTGAGGAAAGGCATTAATCTTCCTTGACTTGACTAACCTGTTTAAGAAAAACACTGAATAATCACTTGGGTCTTTAAAGCTGCCTTGAGGACACATTTGCTCTAAAGTTACACTCACTGTTACTCCCAGGCCCTGGTATATGTGCATAATAGTGACCCTATGGAGAAATTGGAATTGAGCCAAAGATTTCAATATAGATATATCACCTGCATGCTAATTTTTATGGGACAATACTAATAGCAGTTCTTTCTTTCAATATGTGTAATTAACAGATGATGTCAGACAAGAGAAATGTCATCCTGTTTTCTGTATTTGATGAGAATCGAAGCTGGTACCTCACAGAGAATATGCAGCGCTTCCTCCCCAATGCAGATGTAGTGCAGCCCCATGATCCAGAGTTTCAAGTCTCTAACATCATGCACAGTAAGTAAAGCAGCACTCAAGTCCAGTGGGTAATGGATAAGGGAAAATTGAAGCCACCAAATGATGTCCAGATAATGGATTAACTTATATGCCATGTAAGAGTCATATTTCCTTAAAAATTGTTACATGGGGGTGCCTGGATGGCTAGGTCAGCTAAGCATCTTACTCTTGATTTCAGCTCAGGTCATGATCTCCGGGTCGTGGCATCGGTCCCTGTGTCGGGCTCCATGCTCAGTGGGAAGTTGGCTTGAGATTCTCTCTCCCTCTCCCTCTGCCCATCCCCCTTACATAAGCTCTCTCTCTCACTCTCTCTAAAATAAATAAATCTTTTAAAAAAATAATATATATGAACGTATACAGTTTTATATAAAGGCTTAATTATGATCATATATTGCATATATTTTTTTCTTTTAGAAGGGACTTCAAAGGATAAATCAAATAAGACACAACTTGCGTTTACCCAAATATGCATAATCCATCCTTAATATAAAATGCACTCAGGGTTCCTAGCTGGCTCAGTTGGTAGGGTGTGCAACTTATGAACTCAGGGTTGTAAGTTTGAGCCCCTTGTTGGGTGTAGAGATTACTTAAAACTAAAATCTTTTTTAAGATGTTTTTAAATTTACTCAGTTGGTAAGGTACACATGAAATACAAAGGGAATGCAATTTTACACGTGTAAACCAATTGCCAGCTATAGCAATTTAAGTCAAATCAATCAAGACACTGTACATTAAAAAAACATCTTTTTCCCAGCTTTATTGAGGTAGAATTGACACATAAAAATTATATATATTTAAGGTGTACAAAATGATTTTTTTGTGTTTACTTGGCTGCCTCCCTTTTATCTCTCTGTTTCCTTCCATATTACACCTTCCCACTAACCTTTTCATGTCCGTGTAGCCCATGTTAAAATTTTCTCCATGATTATATAATCATATATATAAACATATATAAACACATATAAACACACACACACACACATATGTAGTCTTAGTCTGCTAGGCCTGCCATAACAAAGTACCAAAGAATGGGTCGCTTCAACAGCAGAGATTTACTTCCTTGCAATTCTGGAGGCTAAAGGTCTGAGATCCGGATTCAGCAGGATTGGTCTCTTCAGAGGCCTCTTTCATTGGCTTGTAGATAGCCACTTTCTGTGCCCTCACATGGTCTTTCCTCTGTGCATGTACATGTCTGGGTACAAATTTCATTTTTTTTAATTTAAATTCAATTAGCCAACATATAGTACATCATCAGTTTCAGATGTAGTGTTCAACAATTCATTATTTGCGTATAACACCCAGTGCTCCATGCAATACATGCCCTCCTTAATACCCATCACCCAGTTACCCCATCCCCCACCCCCCTCCCCTCTGTAACCCTCAGTTTGTTTCCCAGAGCCAAGAGTCTTTCATGGTTTGTCTCCCTCTTCCCTTCCGCTATGGTCCTCCACGCTGTTCCTTATGTTCCATATATGAGTGAAACCATATGATAGCTGTCTTTCTCTACTTGACTTATTTCACTTAGCATAATCCCCTCCAGTTCAATCCACGTCAGTGCAAATTGTAGGTATGTATCCTTTCTGATGGCTGAGCAATCTTCCATTGTATATATGGACCACATCTCCTTTATCCATTCATCTGTTGAAGGGCATCTCGGCTCTTTCCACGGTTTGGCTATTGTGGACATTGCTGCTATGAACATTGGGGTGCATGTGGCCCTTCTTTTCACTACATCTGTGTCTTTGGGGTAAATACCCAGTAGTGCAATTGCTGGGTCATAGGGTAGCTCTATTTTTAATTTTTTGAGGAACCTCCACACTGTTTTCCAGAGTGACTGCACCAGTTTGCATTCCCACCAACAGTGTAAGAAAAAAAAAAGAAATGAAAAACTTTAAACTGAAAGATAAATGAATCATGAGAAAAAGCTTCATATTATATATACTATTTTTCCCTAGTGCTGGAGTTTTGCAGTCCTGTGTGCTCCGTAAACTTGGTGTTCACCTCTTGTTCCAGCTGGTCTTCTGGGGGAGGGGCCTGCTGTGCTGATTCTCAGGTGTCTTCGCCTGGGTGGAGTTGCACCGCCCCTTGCCAGGGGCTGGGCTCACTGTAAGCTGCTTCTGGTTGCTCTATGTGGCTTTTGTTCCCTGAAGGCTTTCTGTGCCTCTTTAGAGGATGAATATAAAAATGGCCATGCCCTGATCTCCAGCCCCAGACCTGAAAGATCACAGTCCCCTCTCTTCAGTAAACCCTCAGGGATAAGCAATCTTCACTTCTGTGTGTGCCAAACTCTGCAGACTCCTGCAGTGTGCATCCACAACAATCCTCCCAGGGGAAGGCAGAGGGTAGCAGTGTTTTTGCCCTTTACAAGGCCTGCACACAGAGAGCGGTTGCCCAATTGTGCCGTGGTTTGTGGTTTATGGCGAACTGAGCTGAGAGCCCCCTCCTGGGCTCACTGACCATAACTGGTTTCCCTGCTCCGACACTTGGGAACTCTTCAGGCTCAGGCACCCCCGTTCTTTCTGTGACCCCAGGGATCCTAAGACCACACTGTCCCACCTAGGATTCTGCGCCGCTTCGCCACCTGAGCACCTTTCAGGCAGGGAAGTCCCTCATCAGAGCTGACTTCTAAAAGTTCCAATTTTGTAGTCCACTGCTATATCACTTTCTGGTAGCTGGTTGATTGAGGCTCCCTCACCCCATCGTTTATTTTCTGATATGTTGGTTCAGATTCACTTCTCCATACCTCCTACCTTGCAAAAAGTGGTTGCTTTTCTATTTGTAGAATTGCAGCAATTCTTTCCTTAGATCTCAGGTTGAGCTCACAGGTGTTCAGAATGATTTGACAGCTGTCTAGCTGAATTCAAGGGACCAGATGAAACGAGGTCCCCTACTCTTCTGCCATCTTGCCTCCCCTCCACAAATTTCCTTTTCTCATAAAGACACCATTCATAGGGGCACCTGGGTGTCTCAGTCAGTTGAGCGTCCAACTCTTGGTTTCAGCTCAGGTCATGATCTCAGGGTTGTGAGATTGAGCCCTGCATTGGGCTTCATGCTCAGTGGGAAGTCTGCTTGAGTTTCTCTCTTTCCATCTCCCTCTGCATGCCCCTCTCTCTCAAATAAATAAAATAAATCTTTAAAAAAAAAAGACAGCAGTCATTTAGGGTTTGAGCCCACCCTAAGACCTCATTTTAATGAATGACCTATTTAAAGACCCTGTCTCTAAATACAGTCACATTCTGAGACAAAAGGGGTTAGAACTTTGACATATGAATTTGGACGGGAGCAAAATTCAACCTATTACAAAAATACATATATGTATGTGTTTTATACATACACAGAAATCAGAATGGTAAAAAATATGATAAAAAATTTCAGTCTCGGGGCACCTGGGTGGCTCAGTCATTAAGCACCTGCCTTCAGCTCAGGTCATGATCCCAGGGTCCTGGGATCAAGCCCCACATCAGGCTTCCTGCTCAGCGGGAAGCCTGCTTCTCCCTCTCCACTCCCCCCTGTTTGTGTTCCCTCTCTCACTGTGTCTCTCTCTGTCAAATAAATAAATAAAATCTTTAAAAAAAAATTTCAGTCTCAGGGGCGCCAGGGTGGCACAGTCAGTTAAGCATCTCCTTCTTTGTTTTGGCTCAGGTGAAGCTCCGCATTGGGCTCCATGCTCAGTGCACAGTCTGTTTGAGTTTCTCTTTCTCAATCTCTCTCTGCCCCTTCCCTCCACCCCTAAAGTAAATAAATAAATCTTTCCAAAAAATTTGAATCTCACTACAGGTAAATGCAAAATAGAATACCAATGCTATAGCACTTCATACCTATCAGACTGGCAAAATTATAATACAGTTATTACTAGTGGGCTTATAAGTATGAGGCTATTCTCATACAATGCTACTGGATAACTAGTACAGTATTTTAAAACCAGTCTGATTGAAACCATTAAAATTAAAAATATATGTCTTTTGGAGTGTGGTTCTGGTTAAGATGGAATAAGCATATGTTACCCTATCACATATGTTACCCTGTCTATCCCACTGAATGACTAAAAATCCTTAACAATGCATGAAGCAGCTATCTGAGAACCTTGAAAAGTAGTTGGCAGCAGGTAAATTGGGGAAAGAAACTAGAAAGTTTTAAAAGCATTCATATTAAAGTGAAGAAATGAAACCTCATATGACATGATTGTCTGCATAGGAAATCTCAAGAACTCTACAAGAAAACTCATAGAACTAATAAGTGAGTTTAGCTTCATTGCAGAATACAAGGTCAACATACAAAAGTCAGTCATATTTCTGTATACTAACAGCAAACTGTTGGAAACACAAATAATGAAAATACCATTTACAATAGCTAAAATAGGCATAAATCTAACAAAATGTACAACATCTATACACTGAAAATTGCAAAACATTGTTGCAAGAAAATTTAAAAGACATACAATGTGGAGAGACATACAATGGTTACAGATTGGAAGACTAAGTAGAGTGAAGATGTCAGCTATCTCCAGATGGATCTGTAAATTTAATGCAATTCTTACTAAAATCTCAGCAAGATTTTTTATTTGATAGAGAAAAGCATATTATCAGATTTATATGGAAAGGCAAAGAAACTAGAATAAGCCAAAACAATTTTGAAAAAGAAAAATTAAGTTGGAGGACTCATATTACCGAATTTTAAGACTTACTATAAAGCTACAGCAATCAAGATAGTATTATATTGACACAGAATAGTGTAGAAATACATGGATAATTGATTTTTGGCAAAGACAGAAACACAATTCAATGGAGAAAGGATAGCCTTTTCAACAGTTTTAGAACAGTTGGTCATCCATATAAAAATATATGAACCTTGACCTAAATCTCGTACTTAAACAAAGATTAACTCAAAATGGATCATAGGTCTAAATGTACAATGTAAAACCATGACCTAGAGTTAGAAGAAGGCTTCTGATAAATGACATAAAAATTGAAATCCATAGTAGGGAAATATTGATAAATTGA